CCTAGATATTCAAAGCAGCAGGATACTTTCCAAACAGATCTCATATTTATATCTTGGTAGAAAATCCTAATAACAATGGTCCATTACTTCCTGTAATCCCTTATATAAAAAATTACATATATTAGTTTAAACAAATAGCTACCTGCCATTATATGACATTTTATAAAAAAAAATATACAAGCAGAGATAAAGTACAATACCTCTGGAGAAGAGTCAAAATCTGTGCAGAGGTCAGTCAAATACTGACCTAAATGCAACCTCAGACATGTTGGCTGATGGTCCAAAGATTTGGCTGCCAGGAATATTGCGTTGGAGTTTTTGGCTGCCATCAACCCTCAGGTGCTGATTTCAAGTTGAATTCAGTGGTTTTCAAATTCAATTTGGAACCAAGCCATTGTATTTTTAGACTAACATTAATACCATGAATATTAAAATTATTTTCACAGACATCAGTTCCTATTTTAAGAGAATGTGGACAATAACCTTATTTTTTCAGTACTGATTACATTAATCAATGACAACTGATAATCCCTTTCTTACTAATTTTTAATTAATTCCTATAGTAAAATCATTAGCAATGCATTTACATTATTCATATAATAGCCCTATTCTATCAGTAATGCTTGCCTTCATTCCTGACCACTGACAATCCCTTTCATTTTCAATGATTCATTATTAAAATTATTCATAGAATAGCCCTTTTATCAGTAATGCTTTGCTTTATTTGATCATTACAAATATTTTTTTATATATTTATTTTCAATACAATTTATAGTAAATTTCTGAGAAAATGTGGAAGATGACTATTTTGTCAGTAATGATTACATAAAATTCTGATGGCAACTGACAATCCGTTTCCTCGAGATTTTAAAATACATTTATATAGTAAAATCATTAATAATGGATTTACATTATACATACAATAATCCTTTTCAATGAGTAATGTCAACTAAAATAATTTCTAATGCATTCCTATAATAAAATCATTTCCAGTAAATGCTTTTTCATAAATCCTAGCCATAATATTTCAGGTTCCATAAAGAGCTAGTATTCAAATCATTTCTAATGCATTCCTATAGTAAAATCATTTGCAATGAATTTCTATAGATGCTTTTAGTATTTGCTATATCACTAGATATGGAATCATTAGAGGGAATGAAAGTTTGGATGGATTTGTTTCATAAATCCTAGCTATAATATTTCAGGTTCCATAAAGAGCTAGTATTCAAATCATTTCTAATGCATTCCTATAGTAAAATCATTTGCAATGAATTTCTATAGAGGCTTTTAGTATTTGCTATATCACTAGAGGGAATGAAAGTTTGAATGGATTTCTTTCATAAATCCTAGCCATAATATTCAAGGTTCCATAAAGAGCTTGTATTCAAATCATTTCTCATGCATTTCTATAGTAAAATCATTTGCAATGAATTTCTATAGATGCTTTTAATATTTACTATGTTACTAGATATGGAATCATTAGAGGGAATGAAAGTTTGGATGGATTTGTTTCATAAATCCTAGCCATAATATTCCAGGTTCCATAAAGAGCTAGTATTCAAATCATTTCTAATGCATTCCTATAGTAAAATCATTTGCAATAAATTTCTATAGATGCTTTTAGTATTTGCTATATCACTAGATATGGATCATTAGAGGGAATGAAAGTTTGGATAGATTTCTTACTATTTGCTATATCACTAGATATAAAATAAAAATTAACCTGTTGAAAAACTAATACAGAATTTATCCATTTCAACATTTCAGTCAGAAGTTTTATAAAATTAAACCCGAATATTAACTATATGACATTAATTTGGGGTTATATGGAGAATGAAATATTAATTTAAAATTAAAAGAGGAATAAAAAGGGGTTTAAAAATAACTTTAAAAAATATAGCTAAAGGATGTAAGTAATTAATGGCAAGAGAATTGGGGAGATATTAAAATAGGGGAAAGTTTATAAATTATAATTAATATCGTGTAAAGAGGTTATAGAAATGGTATTTTTCTAACAAGATTTCTTGAATATTCAGCCCGGTAGATGTAAATAAATACATATACTGTTTAATAAATAAATAAAAACAGAGCACTTATTCAAATATAGGTATCCATTTAAAAATAACATTTAAACAAATAGAAATATGTTGGATCTAATCCACTGCATTATATATAATTCCAAGGTTTGAATAAGCAGCTCTAAATAGAATCTGCTCAAAATTATCCTTCTGCCATAAAAGTACTCCATGCCATATATATATATATATATATATATATATATATATATATATACACACACACAGAGATTTGGCATATACACACACAAATATATATATATATATATATATATATATATGCACACACACACACACACGTATGCACACACACACATATATACATATAAACACACATATATATACATAAATATACACACATATATACATAAATATACACACACATATACATAAATATACACACACATATATATATACATAAATATACACACATATATACATAAATATACACACACATATATACATGTACACACACACAATATACATACATACACATGCATATACATATATACACATATATAAATACATATACACACACATATACACACACACACATATATATATATATAATACATATACACACATATATACACATATATATATATATATATTTATATATATATATATATATATATATATATTTTTTACACATATATAAATACATATGCACACAAACACACATATATATATATGCATATACACACACACACACACACACACATATATGTATGTAAGTATGCTTGAATATTTGTTGAGTGAAAGTTGGGAAGGGGCTCTAATCTGTATGGAATAAATTTAGAATACTAATAAACAATAGAACAATTTTTGCTGAAGATTATTTACCCTTGATCTGATTAACCTGCCCTTGATCTTCTTAACACAGCTACAGAAATCTATCTTTTGCAGTGGTACTTTTCATGGAGCTTGAACCTAAACTTTTTCTTTTGCTGTCATTTGCACATTTTGTATTTGGAGCTGAGACGTACTTCCTAAAGATCATTTTAGACAACGTATTATATTAACAGGCAACTAAATTAATATTTATAATAAATATTTAGAAGTTTAAGCTGTCATCGTAAATATTTTTGGATAAGTAAATCTATCTTTCAGTCTCCTTCTCACCTCCACCTGGTATTTAAGAATTTCCCGTCAAAAGTACTTCCCCATGAGTAATTAAAATGGCAAAGAAGTATGCATGAGTAATTTATTTCTGATGTCAATCTTGACACCAAGTAAGCTGTATTTATGTTCATAATTTCATAATATCAAAGTCATAAATATTCTGTAGAATTTCCATCGTTACAGCGAGTAATAATATTAATGCTATCAAAATAGACATATTAAAATTGTCTATAAAAAATAAAAATAAGAACAAGGATAATAAAATGCTTGCTCCTTTTGTTTTTGCTTTTTTTTTTTTTACAAGGCCCAGGAGCCACTGAAGGTAGACAGTTACAATAAGGGATACTTTATATGAATAAGAGGAGAAGATAACAGTTAACTCTTGACTTGAACAGGTTAAGATTGTAGTGATCAAGGAAACATCCTCTTAGGGGTCCGTTCCACAGGGAAGTGGTTTGCGGGAAAAAAAACTATTCAAGTGGAACTTACTTCTTGTTAATGGAAGATTGATGGAATATGGGTGGTTTGTTACTGTGGGTCCTAGCTATAACAGTTAAACCTGGTGGAATTATAAATATAGTTTATCTGAGCACTTTCGATGGTAGTAAGCAGTGAGAGACTCGCCACATCCTGCCTGTAAGAGAGAGGTTGAAGGGTGGAAAATAATTCTTCTCCCACAAAAACTTAGAGACGCTTTTGAACTCTATCAAGACTGGAAAGTGAGGACTGGGCAGCTCCTACCAAAATATGGCAACAGTATTTCCTTTTCGGCCTGATCTGGCTCTTGTCAAGGTAGAGGATAACATAAGGTACTTAGTGGAACAGTAAAGAGAGCTGACCATTTTACCTGCATCTTTAGCAATGGATTGTATATAAATTCCACTTGAGGTCAGATCTGAGTTTGAGGTCCAATATTGTCAGGACATCTGTTCATCATGACTGACAGTAGTTCAGGTCTGCCTGTTTGTTGGATATATATATATATATATATATATATATATATATATATATGTGTGTGTGTGTCTATAGGTGGATACAAAACTTTATTAATGCAATACAGACAGACAAATTAAAACTATAGAAAATCCAACAAACAGGCAGATACATACATACAAGTATCGGATTGGTGTATACGGAATAAATTCCAATAACTAACAAATACTATTCTTAACAAAGTGCTCAATACAGAGTAGAGCAAATATAATTATTTATTCAAAAATTATAATATAGTTATAATTTTCAAATAAATAATTATATATATATATATATATATATATATATATATATATACATATATATATATATACATATATATATATATATATATACTAGTTTAAACATGAAAATACAGAGTTAAAGTAAGTTAAATGAAAGATTAAAAATTGACAAGGTTTTTCATTTCACTGAAGCAGATATTAAATGCATGACAGCATTATCACCTTTCCTTTATTTTTATTATGTTTGCATTCTTTTTCTCACTAAAACCAAACAGTATCTTTGATATATCTTTCTCTCTTATCTTTCATCACAATCAATGGTATGGTTCATTATTTACCTGAAGTAATGGCAGGATAGAATGTACATGCTGACTAACTTTCTAACGGAAAAACAAGCACAATTATAATATGACAATGATGATAGAAAAAAAAATCACATCTGGAAATTTTCAGTAACTGAAGCCTTTTAAAACAATCCCTGAATGAAGAGATACACTTGTCAAGTTAAACACAAATATCAAAGTGTTTTGTAACCAAATAAATGTTTTGATGGCAATTTCCAAATAAAATATTTCAAATTGCTTACTGAGTAAAAGTCTGGTCAGGTTTGCTTTATCCCCAGTGACTGCTGCTGCATGAAGTTGCTGGTCATAACTTGGCATGGCACTTTTTTCTGTGGGTTGCTGGAGTTTAAAAAAACAAATAAAATAAAAAAATAATAATAATAATTCAAAAGTAAAATGATAAATAAACAGAAGTAGATTATGGAGGAAAAAAAAAACATGATTCTATTTTTATTAAATGAAACATTGTCAACCATTCTAATTTTTTTCACTTGGATTTCTTTGATTTTAATTTCAGTTGATTTTCTTTGCAATTGACACAATTGTCTGTCTCTGGTGAACAGATCAAATGGGAAAAAAATAAAATTAAAAAAAAAACTCTAGGTGAGATTTTAACCCACATTCCATTTACCTTAGAAAACAATAACAAATATAACACTGAGTGATCAAGGCAAAACATAGAAAATGAGTTTAAAGGTTAGATAGGATCTTTTGTCAAATGTAAAAACTCTGGTAGCTTAATGAATAGAACAACCAGGGATCCTCAGGGAAAGGGATATAATTATATGTGTTAATAAAAGCTTATTCTTTATTTCTATTTTGATAAAAATAACCATTTCTTTACAGTAAGTCTGCCCATTACTATTAGGACCTTTCACAGACTTTCAAGCTGAGTTGGTTGTTCATCATGATATATATTTAAAAAAAAAACAACAATAACAAAAACATCAGTTAAAAACCGACAATGAATATTTCATCTTCATTGCTGTACATCTGTAGTTCCTAAACTTCTTTTTTCACTGGGCCGCATTTTTGGAATTAAAATTTGCTCACACCTTACTAAGTTTTATATGATAAAAAGTACATTTAAAAATAAAAAACAGAAAGAGGGTTAAAGTGGGATAACCATGGATTTGGATTCAGAACATTATCATTGATAACTCTCTCCTCCAATTTACAGACCCTAGTTACTATATTCTTAACACTTGATATAATGCAAAAGCATCACAATGATAAAATCAGTCAATAATTATTTATAACTATTTATACTGAGACTCATGCAAACAATTACAATTAATCCATAATTTTAAATTTTGAAATCCTATTTATTTTTGGCATATGAATTTTTTGAAACTGTTTCTAAATCTTTGATTGTCTTTCAATCATTCTGCCTCACCTGCTATCCTCTTCCGTCACATGTATGAGGCATGCTATATATGATGATATATTTTTTTGCTGATGAAGTTTAAGAAAAGAAAATGCAAATTTAAAGTTGGTTTTAGGACCAATTCTCATTATTTAATAAAATTAAATTTTTAATGATCTCATTATCAGCAGTAGACTGATTCAAACAGATTTGTCTAATCTGTGGGTAACGGCAAATCATTCCGGTGTGTTCAAGAATATTCAATGCTATTTTTAAAATGCAATTAAAATTTTAATGTTTTCAGATGCCATAAACTGGTTCATGTTTTGTCCTTACAAGTTTAGATATAGAAAAAAATCTCAAATTTATAAAGGAATCATTTGAGGAATCAAATTTTGATAGATTTGAGTTGATTTTGATTAGTGGCATATCAACACCTCTATGGGTTATTTAATGTCAAAATCTAAATATTTTGTATGTTATTTTAAGCTTTCAACTATAGATATTTTGTACATAATTTTATACTTTCAGAATAAACATTTTTAAATATATTGTTTGTTGTGGAGTGAGTAGCCGTGGTCAAATGCACAATAAACAGAATTGACAATGTCTGCAATAACAAGAAAAAGAAAAGAACAAGGCAAAAAATAATATAAATTAAACAAACAATATATGCAAGGCAAAGCAACAGTAATATGGTGAAAAGTTCACAAACTAAGAATTGGTGTTGACACACAAAAACAAATTCAGGCACAGGAATGTGGTGTTCCGAATTCAAGACAAGACAGATTGAGATTGAGTCAGATGAAACCGACAAGTGGCCTATCTTATTGGCTAAGAAGAAATGCCAGCATGCATTTGTTTACTTATTATTATAAATTGGTGAGGAGCAAGTGTTTTGCAGTCATTCTCAGTCAGATTAGAATTAACATTTGCAGACGATAAAATATATTATTGGTATTTTTTTTTAATACAAAAATGTATTGCTGATAATTTCATGACAAAAATGTATTGTTGATCATTTTTCTATAAAAATTTATTGTGGATTTTTGTTTAGGGATTCACTATTTGCCTATAGCTGGAACCCTAACAGGTGCTACCACCTCGGGTCAGATGGACTTGGGAACCACAGCAATTAAGAGTTGATTCCATGCTTCTCAAAACTTCCAACTTCCCAATCAGAGGTCTTGCTAATTTTGCTATATTTTCAAAATGTTATTATGACAAAAGTCTTGTGTAATATCAAGTTTTTTTTTTTTAATTTGTACTTTTCAAATATATTTTGCAAAGTAGGTAATAAATGCTTTTGAATGCAAAAGTTTTTGCTGGGCCAAATAAAACTACGGTTGTCAATTCCATAGATGAGATCATTGCAGTTAGCAATGATCATATTAATATTTTTTTTTTTTATGATACATAGAAAGACTTTGGCTTTTTGTGAAGTCAGTCAATTTAACTGAGGAGGAATATTAAAATTTTATGAAACAAGAAAAAATAAACTAATAAATAATTTCTTATTTCAGAGCAGAGGGATTAAAAAGTTGTTGTGGAGTTATTTCGCAGTGGAGGCTTGTATTTGTACTAAATCGGTCCTAAATAGGTTCGACGTACAAAATGTTAGGAACTTGATATAATAGGTATTATGCAGAGTAATCTTGTTGTAAGTCGCTGACTACTGATTTGATACTTTTCGATATTTGATCTACCTGTCGGTCATTACTGTCATCCCACATTAGGACTGACCCTCATTTCTTTCTTACTACTCCTAGTTATATTAGGTGGGAGTTCATTTGTTTAGCCACATGACTATAGAAAAGGTGTGTTTCAATTTTATAAAGTAAATAGATACAAATTTTTTTTTACATAAAATGTTCATTTTGTTTAGTAACGTAACACCTCTATGGGTCATTTAATGCTGAAATGTAAATAATTTGAACAATTTTATGGCTTCAGCTAAATATATATAGGTATGGTTGCGAATTTTTTTTTTTTTTTTTACATAAAAATGTATAATATTTCATGGTGTTTTAATCTCCAATAAGAGGCTTTGCTTCTGGATATTGGCCCTGGTATCCTAACATGTACTAGAATTTCAAGTAAACAATTTTTTAATCATTTCACTTCCAGGCCACTAAAATGCAAGAGGTTAATTTTTTTTTTTTTTACATAAAATGGACCTGCTCAGTATTTGCAACATATACAAATTAAGAGGGACCCAAACAAGAACAGCAATTAAGAGGGGTTCCATCTTCACAAAACCTCCAATCTCCCTATCAGAGGCCTTGTTGTCGGAAGGTGGACCTGCGAGCAACAGCAATTAAGAGGGGGTTCCATACTCCGCAAAACCTCCAATCTCCCGATCAGAGGCCTTGCTGTCGGAAGGGTGGACCTGTGAACAACAGCAATTAAAAGGGGGTTCCATACTCCACAAAACCTCCAATCTCCCGATCAGAGGCCTTGCTGTCAGAAGGGTGGACCTGTGAACAACAGCAATTAAGAGGGGGTTCCATACTCCTCAAAACCGCCAATCTCCCAATAAGAGGCTTTGCTTCTGGATATTGTTTATTGCCCTACCCAGGACTTAATCAGGCACAGGCTTAAATGATGAGTAGGCGTCGATGTGCAGGTTGTGCTGTATTTTTTTTAATCATTTCACTTCCAGCAAGGTTATAAAGCCACTAAAATGCAAGAGGTTAATGAGTGTGAAACAACATGATAAAAAGAAAAACATTATTATGGAGAGAGAGCAATAAAAGAACAGGAAATGATAGGACATACAATAGAGATTGACATTCATTTAAACTTTTGAAGATGAAACTTGACTGGACAGCATGAATCCAGAAGAAATTTCCACAAGCGAGAAGTGTAAGAGAAGAAACTGTTACCATAGAACATACGGTTACTTCAAGTCATTTCAATTGTAAAATGGATACTGGCACAGAAAGAGGGAACTGGTGAGCAGAGTTGAAATTCCCGACTAGTCTTGGTATTCTCAGCATCCTTCTCCCCCAACTATGGATTAAATAACAAGGCAACCAGGGTTTTCTAGTCTTGGGTGGCAACTAGTCAATAGAATAACAACTCTGAATTCAAAACCAGCCTGAAGAGAAATGGACCCTGTCAGGTTATCTTTCCAAAGACAATGCCATGGCTACAGTACATGTGGGGTATCTATAATAGGTTACAGGATTCAAGACCAAGATCAGATAGTGTAATGGTTAGCACATCAGAAAACAAAATCATTGAGCCAAGTCTGAATTATAGCTGAGTTTGTTACACTCACTTTCCCATAAATGCCTCTGGGAAAGGTATGAATCCATCTCTTCTCCCCTCAGCTATGGGTTAAATAATAAGGTTGATGGTGCTCTTGTACTTTGACATGACAACCTGTCTAGAAAGAAAACTGAATTCAAAACCAGATAAAAGAGCGATGTGTTCCGTCAGACTATCTTGTCCTAAACCAGTGTTTCTCAACCTTTTGAAGCAATAGCACACCTATTTATTTCTCTCCTTCATATTTTCTTTCCATGAATGCAAATCAAGCCCACACTAATCTTCCCATTTGTCTCTGTCACCACCATCCCAAAAGCACAAAAACTTGACCTACCACAATTGTATATGAAAAATATCCTCTGACCAAACTATTACCATACAGTTGAATGCAACATTATTTTTTTATTATTAACCAACCACACGGGTTTGTTAATTAAATAAGAATTTTTATTTAACAGTTAAAATTTAAAATCTTTAAACTACCAAGATTTAACTTCACCCAGCATTCTTTCTTTACAATAATGTTCACCTTGTACAAGGCTCAAGAGCCACTTGAGGTAGATAGTTATAGAGTAAGAGGTAAGATTTAACTTCACTCAGCATTCTTTCTTTACAATAATGTGCACCTTTTACAAGGCTCAAGAGCCACCTGAGGTAGATAGTTACAGAGTAAGAGGTA